GACTGAAAAGGCGCTGCTCCACATCCTTGAACTTGCCGGCCTGGAAATAGAAAATTATGCAGAACCAGTAAGTGTCGCTGATCACGGCCTTTGAGGGGTCAGACTTGAAATCCTTGAACCACATGTTCCGCGCGTTCTCGGACCAAGACTTGAAATCGACATTCTGCACGATGTTGGTCATCACCTTGTCAAAGGGAATGCTCCCCGGCAGAGGGGTCGGGACATGCCCAGAGAGGGCCTCGCTCGGCAGTGCCGCATCCTCCGGGGGGAACGGACAGATACCGATTCCGCTGCTCCGTGGACCCCTCCCCAGCCCGACCAGGACTCCAAGGCGGATCCAGCGATGGCGACGAGGATCGTCCAGGACATCTGATAAGAGGCCTCCTGGATGGGGTCGGAGTAGATGGGGTCGGAGGATCGCACCGCATCGGCGATACATCGGCGATGCATCGGCGATGCATCGGCGATGCATCGGAGATGCATCGGCAATGCATCGGCGACGTCGACGATGCATCGGCGACGTCCGCGTGAAACAAATCGGGCTCCACATCGAGCCGCATCGCCGATGCATCGGCGATGCGGCGCGCTCCTACGACCCCAGCTACTCCGACCCCATCTGTGAGGCCTAGATCCGAAGAGGTGAGAATGGGCGAGGCGGAGAAGGGGCACGACAGGTTCACGTCGCGATGACATGGGCGCTGGCTTCTGACATCGCGGGAACCTTTCGACCTCGCAAGGTCGCGGCTCATTTCTTCAAAACTGAAGTCGGGCCTGTCCCCCTTCAGATGGATTTTGGGCGAAAAATCAAAAGATACCCAACAAATGCTCAAAAGATGCCCAACAATACTAAAAAAATAGTCCCCATACGATTTTTCCACTCTTTTTGAACATTCCCCCTGTAGATCGGGGGCGGAAAAGAGGGGGTGATGACTAGGGGGGGGTGGATATCATGGCGTGGGCCATGATATTTCCTCAAATATCATGGCGCCTCCTCTTATTTCATTACGTCCCTGGCCCCCCCGCTGGGCCGCGCACATGCCGCCAGTCATGATTTGCACCCCCCCCTCTGGGACCCCCCCCTCTTGGCCGATCCCGAGTAGAGGGACAGGCCCGACTTAAAATTCAAAACAAAAACGCTGATCGTGCGATGCCCACCGATTCCGGGCCTCTGGCGGCGCTCGGCCTTGCAACGCCCGCGCCGGGGGTCGCCGCCGCGTCGGTCCAGCACGGAACTTCCGCAGCGGCACCGAAATCTCTGAAGGGGCCCACAAACACGCAAAGAAATACACGCAAATAATAAGAGTCCCCACATGTTCCCCTATTTTCTAAGATTGTGTCCTCCCCCCCACTTCCCATATTTTCCCATATATTTTCTGGGGAGTCGACGATGGATTGTGTCCGTGTGTGTTTTTCCCCTCCTGAATCTCGTGCTCCTCTGAGGTTGGAAGGTGAAGGCTAATCGCCGGCACCGATTCCAGCAGTGGCCCAGGATCTGTGTGAACGTCTTCCTGGCCTAGACAAGATGGCGCGTATGTGCACACCGATCTTGAGTCCAAGATTGGCCTGACCAGTCTCGGTGCGTCTTCTGACTGACGACCGTATCCTTCACGCGGGACAGACCCCAAAAGGCCACCCAAAACACGTCCCCCTGACACATCCTGCGGTCCATCCTGACAAGTTTGCCGGTCCGCGCGCTGCCGCTGCGCAGAAGACCTCCAAAAGGGAACACGTTTTTGTGTCTTTGTTTTTTTCTGCGCGAAGACCGCCCGATCCGCTGCCCCTCGAGGGGGCTATTCCCAGCGCAACTCCACTGACCACTGACGACTGCAAGGCACTGAAAACAAAAACCTGCAATGGCACCAGACTCGGGGGAGGAGCTGACGACGAACCGTTAAACGGGAACCTTCGCGACGAAGACGCCGCCACCATACCGCAGGAGGCAACGGCATCGCGCCAGTGTCCTTCCCTGAAGACCGCGGGCGGGGGAGGCGGGCGGGGAGCACTGATGTGAGCCGGTTTTTTTTTGGATTCAGGCAAGTTTACTTGCATGGCGTTCGCCCCCCCCCCCCCCCCCTCGCCCCTCTTCAAGCGAATACTAGCGTGCAAGTGCCTTTCGACTTGCGTGATTTCCGCCCCCCGAACGTGCAAGTCGTTTGCGGCTTGCTTCAGGCTCAGCCCCCCCCCCCCCCCCGTCCATGCAAGTAAACTTGCCAGAGTCTAAAAAAAAGCAGGCTCTGTCCACCTCCGCGGCCTCGGGGTCTGGACTCCCCGGCCACGGCCCCATGCACACCGGGCGGCGCTGCGGGCACGCCCCGCGCGGAACGTGTCCCTGGGATGGCGCATGCGTGGTGCAGTCGGACCTGGGCCAGAAAAAAATCTTTCAGGGCCTGTTTTTGTTTTAGACTCTGGCAAGTTTACTTGCATGGACGGGGGGGGGGGGGCTGAGCTGAAGCCGCAAAACACTTGCCGGGCGCGGAAATCATGCCAAGTCGGAAAGCACTTGCACGCTAGTATGCGCTGTGAAAGAGGGGCGAGGGGGGGGGAGGGGGGGGGCGCCCCCGCCATGCAAGTAAACTTGCCTGAATCCAAAAAAGCAGGCTCTCAGGGACATGAGACCCTCTTGGTAAAGATGCGATGGCGCATCCTATGCGTTGTGGATGCCAGGTCGGGCGTGTCCTCCTACCGGCGGATTTTGGACGACACATTAAACAACCCCACGAATGCCCGCGCGCACCAGTACTGCGCGCGGGCATTCGCGAGACCCTCCGTCGGCCAAAACAAACAGAGCATCCAAGGGTACCCTCCCCAGGATGCACACGAGCATCCGACGAGAGCGAAGAACATTAGGGTATACCCTCCCCGAGCCAGCCTCGACCTTACACTTACACCCGGGTCCGACTGCATCACGCGCGTCGTGAAGCGCACAGTGCTTGGTGGTCTCCAAACCAGGTGGTGAGACACCCGGTGGTGACCCCGATTCCCCCAAGAAATAAGTCTGGGTCACCACTGGGCTTGGGGACACGCGGTCGCCACGAGGTTTTGCGTCTCCTGGGCCAGCCGGCGCTCGAAAAACATGACCCGAATCGCCCAAAACTCACCACCGGGTGTTCTCACCACCACGTTTGGGGACCACCACAGTGCGACAGGACCAGAAGGAGGCCCAGTGAGGACGCCCACGCCGAAGCCGAAGCTGGAAGCCCATGGCCCACGGCTCAGGGCCGGGATGGGCCGAGAGACGAGGCTGCGAGAGCGCCCCAGGAAGGTGGCACGTCGGTCGGAAGACGGAGGTGACTACCTACCAGACTACCCCAACCCAACCCGAAGACCCGAATTTCGGGTTGGGGGGGTAAGGATTCCTCACGTGTTTTTTCGATGTTCCCCGCCCCCCCCCCCACTGGAAATCGAGGGTAAATTTGGGCCTTCGGGTTGGGCTGGGGTGGTTTGGTGGGTGGTGAGGAGGTAAAAGCATGGAGTGGCAAGGCGGATGAAACGGATTGGGTTCAGGCCCTCCCCCAGAGAATAAGGAAACGTAGCAACAACGGTGCTTGAGGTAAGAAGGCGCGCCTACAATTGATTGGCACCTGGGAGATCCCCACAGACCTACTTGCAACGACCGGCGCGTATTCGGAGGAGGGTCAGTCGAGACAACGGCGGCGGCCCTCCCTCGACTACATGCAAAAGTGACCCGAGGCAAGAATGACCTTTGGTGCGAGGCTTTGGGGGATCGAGAAGGGCCCAAATCCAAGCGCGCGGACCAGTGCTGGGGCCACCCCTGTGAGCCCGCACCACGGGTCACTTCGGCGAAAGGTCACTCTTACGTGTAGTCGATCTTCCGCCCGACCCAGATCCGCTCAGCATCGGCCCCTGGATCTTGCGGAACCAAAAGCGACCGATACCGCTACTCCCCGGACCTCTCCCGGGGGGCGCCCTGACCACAATTCTGAAGCGACGCCAGCGGCGGCGACGAGGGCCTCCCAGGATGCCCACGGAGGCGACAACGGGGCCAGGGCAGCGGCATGGGTGCCTTTGACCCTCCTTCGAGGGACCGCGTCCTGACCACAATTCTGAAGCGACGCCAGCGGCGGCGACGAGGGCCTCCCAGGATGTCCACGGAGGCGACAACGGGGCCCGGGGCAGCGGCATTGGGTGCCCTTGGAGCCTGTTTTTTTTGGATTCAGGCAAGTTTACTTGCATGGCGTTCGCCCCCCCCCCCCCCCCTCGCCCCTCTTCAAGCGAATACTAGCGTGCAAGTGCCTTTCGACTTGCGTGATTTCTGCGCCCCCCCGAACGTGCAAGTCGTTTGCGGCTTGCTTCGGGCTCAGCCCCCCCCCCCGTCCATGCAAGTAAACTTGCCAGAGTCTAAAAAAACAGGCCCTTGGGCCCTCCTGCGAGGGACCCCTCCCGGGGTCCGTCCCGGCCAGCTCCTCGGCCAAGTCGGCCGCGGCGACGAGAGGCCCCCCCCCCGGGGAGGCCCCCGGGAGGAGGCGCGGAGAGCGTCGGGGCGGGCTGCGGCTGCCTCGAGGCAGGGCCCTCCTCGTGGTGGCTGCTGCGGATGGGCCGTGTGTGTGTGTATAACTAAAATAAAACCCCAGACATGATCGCGTCGTAAAAAAAAAAACAAGAAGACATGTTGTCGTTGTTTTCGTCCCCTCAGGGGCCCTCGCCGGGCCCCAGGACCGTCAAACAACGACTCAGGATTAAAAGCCGGTCCCGGGGAAAGGGTCGGGACTTCCAGGGACGCCGTCCTGAAAAAGTCAGGACGTCGCATGTCTGGGACCCTTTGGGAGAGGACCTAGGTTAGGAGGGCCAAGAACATCAGGGATGGGGGCCCGTTCTCTTCTGCAGATGCCTCAGGCCAAACCGCCCAGAGCGATGATCCCTGGTGCAGGGGCGGGGCCCTCAGTGAGGCCACGCCTTCATCGTGCTATGAGGGTAAAGGGGTTCTTTGGTAGGGGAACAAAAAGTGGCGTAAACCTAAAAAACTCGGAGGTCCGCGCGGATTTCTGGGATCGGCGCTGAACCCCCCTTCCTGGCGCGCGGAGCGCGCCAGGGGCGGCGCCGGAGGCGCCGCCGAGGGGCCCCAGCGCCGATGCGAGAAATCCGCGCGGAACTCCGAGTTTTGAGGCTCATGCCACTTTTTGTTCCCCTATTGGTTCTCGTTGAGCGTGGGCGGGCGTCGTCAGACAGACGGCGGGCCGCGTCCTCCACGCGGTAGACGCCGATGAGCGGCAGGGCCACCCTCGGGTCCTCGGCGGGGGCGGCCTCGGCCAGCGAGGCCTCGGCGGGGGCAGGGTGAGGCTGCGGGGGGAGGGGGGGGGGCGGCTCTGATGGGCCTGTTTCCACCACCACCACCATAAGTTGGAGGGGGGAAGGAGGTGGAGGACGAGGAGGAGGAGGAGGACGAAGAAGAGGAGTAGAAGGAGGAGGAGGACCCTCTCCCCGACTCCCCCTCCAACGTATGGTGGTGGTGGTGGAAAACAAGCCCATCAGGCTCGAGGGGAGGCGCCCCCAACATCGCAGCGACAGGTCGGATCGGCAGTCGGAACGACTCGGATCGGCGGAGGTCGGCAGCCGCGTCGGGAGAGGTCGGAACCTCCCCTGAGAAATCAGAATCTAGACCGGAATCCGAACTCGGATCGAAAGCGGCACCGATCGAAATCGAATCGAATCGAATCGGAAAAGTCGAGACGAGCCCTGCAAGGGGGGGAAAGAATCGGGCTGGGATCGGCCACGTGCATCGCCGATAGCTCGGCGAAGCCGGGCCCCCGATAGCGACACCGAGCGCTCCTGGGCGGGGCGGGCATCCCTAACCGAACCATCGCCCCCCACTCGCCTGAATCCTGGGTGGTTTTCGGGCCACGACTCGCGCATCCAGCGGCCGTTCGGGACGACTCCGGCATCCACGGGACGCTCTCGACAAGACGCAGCTGCTGGAAACCACCCCAGACCCCGAGAACCTCCCAACACCTCAAAGAACTCCATACAAAACTCCGAAAGCCTCCGAAATCGCATCAAGCCTATCTCGGGCACACGCTAACATGGACTAGTGTTAAGTCGGGCGTGTCCCCCTACAGGGGGATCTTCGACGAAATATTAAAACATACCCAAAAATACACTAAAAATGCTCAACAATGCAAAAAATGGTCCCCAGACTACTTTTTATCATTTTGAATATTCCCCCTGTAGAGGGACGGGCCCGACTTAAGACTAGTTATTGGTGGATCTGGCGGGGAGGGTACCCCCCGAAACACGAGGCCAGTGCGCCTCATCTTGCAACGGAGCGTGTCGACTTCGAATGCTATCGGGACCCGTAGCGAATCTACGCTGGCGTAACCCAAGTGAAACATGAATGAAGGGGCCCTGGGACACACAAATAAATACACACACAAATAAAACGGCTCCCCATATTTTGGCATATTTTCTAGGTTTCTGTCTTCCCCCCACTTCCCATATTTTCCCATACCATATGTTCTTGCGGATCAGCGATTCATTGTGCCTGTGTATTTCTTTCCCTCCTGAATGAAGTAGGAAGGCGGATGATGAAGTCGATTGGCTTCCTGGGTGTGGGCCCGCCCAAGGAGAACATACAAAAACAACAAACCCAGATCGATTCTTGAAGTAGGAAGGCGCGTGAAGTAGATTGGGATCTGGATATCCCAAAGAATATTTCTGGATATCTGGGATCCCAACCTTCTTCAAGCGACCCACGCGCGACCCATCCGCGACGCACCCTGCAACCCACCTCGCGACCCACCCGCGACCCACCCCCTCACTCTCATCCGCAACTGCGGGGTGCTACATGCCCAGACCCCCGACGCCGTGATCTTTTCGCAGCGTCGACACCCGTCGACCCCCAGAGGTCTGGATCCCTTCCCCGGGACCGGCTTCTCCTCCTGAGTCGTTTTTTGGCGGCCCTGAGGCCCAGCAAGGGCCCCCGAAAGCCGAATATGGCGAAAAACATCCCGCCGCGACTTTCTCGCAACGCGAGGGGGTCTGGGTACCCACTTTTAGGTCGGGCGTGTCCTCCTACAGGCGGATTTTGGATGACAAATCCAATAATATGATCATCATTTGTATTATTAGTATTGGTATTACTACTATTATTATTGGAACTATTATTTATAGACACCTAAAATCAAAAAAAAACACTCACAAAAAGTAAAAAAACAAAAAACAGACGCCCCCAGACTATTCCTTGAATTACTATTTTTGAACATTCCTCCCGCAGAGGATCATGCCCGACTTAAACCTACTTCCAACGACCAGCGTGCACCGCCGGGCCCCCGTGGCAGGCCCCCGACGGCCAAAGATGGCGAAGAACGGCCGCAGGCGTGCCAGAGCGCGAGCGCGTGGGCCGTCAGGGCCCACGCACGCGCGCCGGGCGTGGACCGCCAGGGTCCGTGCCCGGGTGGAGGTGCGCGTCGCCACGCTGCCATGAGCAAAAACATCTCCCCTCCGCCCCTGTCTCCTCCTCTCCTCCTCCTCCCCTCCCTCCGTGGAGTGCACGCGCATCTCACTTCGCGTGACTCCTTCGCGACGCGAGGGGGGCCCGGGCACCTCCTCAAAAGCGACTTCCGGCGACCAGCGTGCACCGCCGGGCCCCCGTGGCAGGCCCCCGACGGCCGAAGATGGCGAAGAACATCCCGTCGTGACGCCTTCGCGACGCGAGGGGGGCCCGGGCACCTCCTCTAAAGCGACTTCCGGCGACCAGCATGCGCCGCTGGGCCCCCCCCGGCGGGCCTCCTCCCTCGCGGGCCGCGCGCCCGCGGCGACCAGCGCGCCCAGGTCGGGCCCCGGGTCGTCCGCGAGGTCCACCTCCGGGGGGCGGGGCGCAGGCGCGGCGGCTGGGCGTCGGCGTCGCCGCGCCAGGGAGGAGGAGGAGGAGGAGGATGCATGGCCAGATGTTTTCTCCGTCGCCAGGGACACGATCTGTGTTGGGATGTGCTTGCCCCCAAGACTGCAGGGGAGGGGACAACGTACAGACCAGGAAACAGTACTGTATAAAATCCGCCTGCCAATGCCTCGGCCAGCTTTACAGAAGGGAGGGAGGGTTGGGTGAAAGCTTGAGCCCCGCGGTTGCGGCAGGGCGGCGCACTCTGCAACTCTCTTCCAAGCAAACCCTTACTGAAGTAGTCGAATGCATGGCCAGATGTTTTCTCCGTCGCCAGGGACACGATCTGTGTTGGGATGTGCTTGCCCCCAAGACTGCAGGGGAGGGGACAACGTACAGACCAGGAAACAGTACTGTATAAAATCCGAACCAGTGTAAAGCCCAGGAACAGTAAAACCTCCGCGAACACCGTTCTGGACTCAAACATGAGGCCGAAGTTTATTAGCACGCTGTTGCACTAGAGCAGCACGGAATATTCTCGCAATGGCCCGGCATACAGAGAAGGGGTAGACCTCCGCCTGCTTTGATACGATCTTGGAGCCTTTCATCTCCAGGGTAAAATGCGGGGAGCCAGTGAACGTACATACACCTTTGCCTCTACATCGAATATCCAGTGGTCGAAGATCAACGTGACACCCAAGAAGTCGGGTAGATTTTCTCCAGATGGTGCCGAAAGCGCACATGTCGAACACCACGTCTGAAACACCAGGAAGCTGCCGGACCTTGAGGACCTGGGGTTGTCTCCAAAGATGAGAGCTCGCAGGGTTCTCGACGATCACTGGGCACCCAAGCAAACGGCACTCACGGAAGATACTGAAACTCGCGGCACACAGGGAGTTTCCGAGGTCGACTTCTTTGCGGCAGCTGTCTGAGAGCTTGGGGAGGCCCTCGGGGTACTAGGACGCCCTGAGGGTCGGGGGACCGTTAGGGCGGTTCCTTGCAAGAGAGAAGGAATTACACGGCGTGCCCATGAACACGGCCGTCGCGAGCCCACCTCGGACCCAGCCCCGAATAAGCTTGACCAGGGCCTTACTGCACATGTCATGCTCAACCCCGTGCCGCATGTCGATCTCGAAAACAGGGTGGCCAGCCGACCTCATGGATCGGCGCCAAACCTCAGACAGGTGCCCGGAGCCAGCGAAGATCTCAAGGGCCGCGGGGACGCCCCGCTGCTTCACAAAGAGCGGAAGGCATTCACGAGGGTTACGCCAATGTTCGAGGCCGCCAGGTCGGCGGCGATGAGGATGTCCTGGGACAAGAGGCTCAGCTGCTCGTTGATGCGCCCGCCCCGCTCGTAGCGGGCTAGGCTGCGGTCGCTGGCCCAGCGGCCGCGCTTCTTGGCGCTCAGGAGAGTGCGAGCCTTGAAGAGGAGGTCGTGCGACACCCCTCCGTGGCGGAGGCGGTGCAGACACGGGTCGCCCAGGGCAGTAAGCCCGCAAGCGGGCGCCGCGCCCTTCAAGGCCCGGCCGGCCCCGCTGCGCCCGGCCGAAGTTGAAGACCAGCGAGTGGGGGAACTTGGCCTTCAGGAGGCCCAACACCTGCGGCAACCACGGGAACAGGGGGTTGTCCGCTAGCAGGCTCTCGTCCACGCGGCCCGTCCTGGACGTGTCGCCGCCCTCTTGCGGGTGCAGGAGGAGGGGCCACATTTGGCCCTGGCCGTCCTGCACACGGCGAGGCGCCTGGGCAGGAGCTGTGATCAGCTTCCCCTGCAGACGCAGGCGCTCGCTGGGGCGCAGGTAGAACGTGAAGGTGATGATGCTGGCCAATGCCTCCATCACCTGGCCCGCGGCAATCATGTGCTGCACGCGCAGGCACAGGGCGACCCAGGGGTACGGCAGGCGGCTCTGGGCGGGCACCATGCGCTTCCAGCCCGTCAAGGCGCGAAAGCTGCGGGGCAGCTCGAGGGGCTCTCCGTTGGGGTATGTCCAGAAGTAGCGGAGACCCGCGATCAGCTTCGTCGGCACGTAGGAGAGCTTGCCTGCGAAGAACTTCTCGTGCATGTACGTCACGAGGGCTAGGTCGATCGCCGGCGCCGACCTCAGCGAGGTCGCGATGTCGCTGAGCAGGTGGCGCTCCTGGCCCCACTGGTAGAACGCCGTCACGTACGTCTGGTAGTCCTGGGCGGCCTTCGGCGAGACGCTCTGCAGCTCGAGGAAGGTCGGGGCGCCCGGCGGCGGTGGGGCCTCTGCGGCAGCAGGGAAGGCCCTCGCCCGCTCGGCGGCCCTCGCCTCCTGAGCGCCGGGGCCGTGGGGCACCCACTCGCGGCATGGGCGCCGCGAGGAGGGCGCCGGGAGGTTGGGCGCCACCTCCGCACGGGGCAGGCCCCCGGCGTGGGCGCCCAGGGGGCGCGGCACCAGCTGCGGGCCCGCCGTCGCGGCTGTCGCCGAGGAAGCCATCGCGGAGGACCTCGAGCCCCGCGGGCCCGAGTGCTGCAACTGGATTCGGCGCAGCATTGAATCGGAAAGCTCCTGCCCGACCTCGAGAAGCGGCATCGGCTGCGTTGGATTCTGATGGGACCCATCTCCAGGCGATATACGAGTTGGAGGCCAGCAACATGGCAGCCGTCTGACGGCAGCACTGTAGGACCCCAGGGCTCGACGATCGTCCCTTGGTAAACGCAAGAATGGGAGCCATGCAATCGTTCAAAACCAAGTGCTTGCAACCGAAGTTCTGAGTGTTCCGAACTGTGTTCTTCACGGTGAGCACGAGCGACCGAGCCTCCAAGACAACCTGGGCCTCCTTGTGGGACCACTTCTGGGACATAACGAGGGACCAGTCGCCGCCGTAAACCGACTCTGGGACCTCGGGGAGGGGGGCCTTCGGGATCTCGGAGTCCTGGGGGGAAGCGGTGGCCCCGCCGCTGACCGAACACTTCAGAGCCGAGCCCCGTGGCTTGAGGATGGCCTCGTGGGCCGCTGAGTAACGCAAGCGCTCCGTATAGTGGCCCGCGTGCTGGACCTCCTGGACGCTGCGGATGCCCCTGACGTCCCCTGCGCCCCACCAGGACGCGTCGGCGCAGTAGACCATGGGGGACCAGGCGGCATTGACGTCGCGGAAAGCGAGTGCGATCAGCGCGGCACACCAACGAAGCTCCCGTTTGACTGAGCTCCAGAGAACACGCGTGTGGTGGCCAGACGACTCGATGAAAGAATACGAAGCCTGCAGACATGAGAGTAATTCACGGCGCAGCAGAGCCCGAGACGTGAAGCGTGACACGACGACCCTGACAAGATCCCCCGAGGCGTACTTCATGTCCGCGACAGCCAGACATCCTAGTCGCATCCGCCAGCCTATGCGGTGACTGATCCCAATCGTCGGGGCGTCCTGGTCGAAGGTCCAACCGAGAACACCCCCTCCAGCCGACACCGTCGGACCGCGGGTGCGAAACCCAGCGTCTCGGAGACTGCGATCGACGGAGTCAGTCACGGCATACGCGGGGTCCTTCGAGAGGCCAAGGGCAACGAAGTTGTCAACGTACTCTGTATGTAATACCTGCGTGGAAGATCGAACCAGACGGACAGGAAGGTGCGCATCGTCAAAGGCCAGACTGGGGGAGGCCAACGTGTTGGTGCGGGCTCGGAACTCCATGATACGCTGACAGATCCAGAGACTGTGTTTCCATCCCATTGGGACGGCGGTAAAGCACGGGGTAACCCAGTCGCAGGCCCTCAAGGGGCCTCCAGCGCTGTCGGTAGTGATACCTAGGACCCCAGCTCGTACTCGAGGTAGCCCGAAAAACTGCCAGAACTCCAGAGGTAGCTAAATCCCATAGAAGGCATTCTCAATGTCCGTCTCCCCAACATAGATAGGCCCCCCACCGTCAACCTCCAGGGCCGAGAACGCCGACCCAGTAGCTAGGTCAACGTGAGGGGGCTCATCGAAATGCTCGCCTGCCTGACGCCCGTCGAGGATCAAACGAAGGTCACCGTTCTTTTTAGCCACAAAGAAGACTCCCACGCAGGATGTACACTCTCGCCTCCACGTCACAAGGTTAGACTGACTGAGGCGAAGCAGGAAGCGCGCATAAAGCCGAGGATGAGAACGGAGATAAGGATCGTGGTAAATTCTGGGAGGAGGTGTAGAAGTATCTGCAAGTGTTGGGTCAGGACGCCGTAGCGCATGCAACTCATCAACTATGGCTTCGCCGACGGAGCCGCCCAGATGCAAAATTCCAGCAGGTGACCACCCGACAGGAGGAAGGGCAACTCTGTTTATACTGGCCTCGCTGATGAGAACCACGGGGCTGCCCGTCACGGAGTAGCCTGGCTTAACGCGGAGCTCTCGTAAGGCCCCTGCTGAGGAAAGGTCCGCCGGGGGCTGGCCAAATCGTAGAACCGCACGGTGGATATGCTCCAAACACGCCTTCTGGGCCGCCGATACTGTTTGACCGCTGTCCGAACCGTGTTGACCGTGTAACTGATTCAAGACCGAAACCACCTCGGAGACCAAAGATGCTGACTGACGGTGGACCTCGAATCTCCTCCGAACTTTGCGCGAGACAGAGGTCCTAGGGGGGTCAGAGGAGGCCGGCACAGGGAGGGGAAAAAGATCACGAGGGCGCGCTCTCGACATGGGACCAGGCGCCACGCGATGGCCAGAGCACGAAGAGGACAGGAGGAAGGGGAAGATGATGGCGCGGCCCTGCGCCCCTGCTGGCAGAAAATCGAGGCGCGCCTGCCGCGGCGAGCCTAGCCCCACAGAATGTGAACAGCGGGCGCCAGGGGGAGCGACCGCCGTGCGTCCAAAACTAATTTGGACCATGGCCCGCATCAGCCCGCTCTGCTCGGGCTTTTCGGACCTGCTTGAAAATGTTGGCATCGCGTTCGACCTGCTTGCCAACCCACTCGACCAGGGCGGGACACACCATGGCGTCTCCCGTCTCACGCTGCCCCCGGAAGGCGGTGTGCTCATCCAGGTAGCCGAAAGCGCCCGCGACGCCTCCTCGCCCGCGGCCACGGCCACGGCCCCTCTTCTTGGCATTCAGGTCGCCGTCGGCCACCGCGGTGCTGGCCCCAGCAAACCCGTCGCGCTTCGCATACGCATACTCGACCAGCTGCACTTCGCGCATCAGCGACTCGATCCCCGCGACGTTCGGCAGGTCGAGCGAGTCGTAGGCGCCGAGGGTCTCGAGGGCCTTCATCCCGAACTCGTGCATCGGGACACCCCAGCTGTCCTTGTGGAGGCGGTGGACCATCACGAAGAAGCGGTGGTGGTCGAGAGGGCCCCCGCCCCGACGGTCGATCCATCGGCAGCACCAAGGAGTGGTGCGGGGGCCCTCTATCGCCCAGTCGGGGAAAGCGATCTCGGATAGCGAGCTGGCCACGTCACGCCATGCTCGACGGGAGCGTTGACCATTCACCGCGATCACGCTGAGGAGGCGGGCGTCACCCGCTGCCTCGAGGCCCTTGAAATCCTGCACCTGGTCGGAACGAACCGTACGAACCAGCAAGCCACCATAGCCGGAAGCCGTGTGGATGCCGATGTCGCCAGACATGACCTCCGTGCCGTTCGGAGCCACTGGAGTCCCACGCGGGCCATACGTCGTCGTCTCAACCGTGACCATCACCGGGTAGGGTGCCGCTGCCACCATGCCCAGTCCTGCGGCCAGCGGGGCCCCAGCTGCAGGGGCGCCAGCAGCCATGGCCGCGGGGAATGCGGCCGGGGCGGCGGCTCCAGGCGCCGCGGCGGCCAGCGGGGCCGCCACCACCGCCCCCGGTGGAGCAGCGCCAGGCAGCGCGGCTGGGGGTGCTCCGAGCAGGGCCAGCGGGGCGGCGGCCGCGGCGGGGGCGCCCAGGGCCGGAGGGCCCGGGGGGGGCGCCATCCCAGGGAGCGCCAGCGGCAGCCCGGGGGCTGCGGGGGCCACAGCGGCGGCCGCGGCTGGCGCCGCGGGCGCGGGCCACACGGCGTCGACCAGGCTGCCCGTCGCCGGGAGCACCGCGGGCTGCCCTGCCGCCCGCTCGCGAGCGAGGAAGGCGGCGTCGCAGAACGCCTCGGCGTCCGCGCGCATCGTGGCGAGGGCGGCGGCGTCGGGCTCCTGCCGGAAGCGGTGCACCTGACCTCGCGGGATACCAGGCGGGGGAGGACGGAAGACCTCCGACCAGCGCCAGGCCTCGATGTCCCGCGAGGCCCCTGAGAGGTCGATCTGCTCGGGGTCGCCGTCCGGCGAGACGCCGATGACCTCGTCGGCGTCAGTCGCTTGAGTCGCCGAGGAGGCCAGCACCCCGACAACGCGCCGCTGGTGGTACAGCGCCTCGCCCTGGTACCGGAGCCACAGCCAGGGTCGTAGTATCGGTGGGGGCATCGCCGCCGCCATCAGTTCCGCGGCGGGGACACTGGGCCGTCAGCCAGCGCAACACCTGCCAAGTGCCCAGCGCGAGGGCAGGCACCACAGCTCCTCCGGCCGCGCCCAGCAGCAGGAGTCCAGCGGACGCGAGCCAGCCAGGGAGCCACGGCGGCGCTGCCGCAGGGGTGGTGCAGGCTGGCTCGGGGGCCCCGGGGCACCCTGGGCACGCGGGGCACTGCGGGCACGCTGGCGCCGGGGGGCAGTGCACCTCTCCGCACACGAGGGAGCCGCAGACAGACTCGGGGCACCTCGGGCAGGATCCAAGCCAGGCGAAAGTGGCCTGACCTGCCCAGTGCGCGACAGCCACCGGCAGGTCGGGCATGCGACGCGCGCGAGAAGCGTGCGCCCGCCCGTGAAAGCTTGAGCCCCGCGGTTGCGGCAGGGCGGCGCACTCTGCAACTCTCTTCCAAGCAAACTCTTACTGAAGTAGTCGAAGGAGGAGGAGGAGGAGGAGGAGGAGGAGGAGCAGGAGGACGACGAGGAGGCGGAGGAGGAGGAGGCGGAGGAGGAGGAGGAGGGGAGGAGGACTGAGATGGGCAACGACCCCGAGATCCTGGCGCCGCAATCTCTCCACGACGGGCGTTCTCGCCCCGCTTCGGGTCCCGGGAGCCTCGCGGATCGATCCGGCTCGGAAAGAGACGCAGCAGGATGGGGTCCGAGGCTCCAGTCGTGATTCGTTTCCGGTGCTGCAACTTTTTTCGCAGCGTCGGATCTCAGGGGAGAAAGGGGGGACCAGCTCAGGGTCTCTCTGACAGGTTATGCCGAGCCGTTGTGGCTACAGGTGGCACATTCTCACATGCATGTGTCGCCCAATCGTAATGGCTGACTTTTCCTTGATGCATCTCTGGTTCCAGACGCTCCACTGAAGCAGTGCAAACAAAAAAAACAAAAAAAGGGGGAAGCATCGACCTGGAATCGGCGATACATCGCCGATAGATCGGCGAGAGGGCCCCGAGTTCGAAACCGCACGGTCCTGGACGGGTCGGGCTATCGGGCCTCTGCTGGCGACGAATGGGCGATTGTGGGTCGAAGCATCCCCCCTGTCGTTGCCCCCTGAGCGTCTGGAGGCTCTGGCCCCCGCCCAGGGAGACACACATCCGCCCCTGTGCCTCGGCACGTTGGTGCGCGTTTTCGTATTCGGAGTTTCGACACTGGGCGGAAGGGGGGGGGAGGGGGGGTCTGGCTGCGGACCTCTGCTTGCTGCGAGGGTTTGCAACAGCGCGTACTATGGGGGAGGGACTCCACCTGCTCGAAACAGGCGCCAGAAACAGCCAAGACCTACTCCATGGGGGGTGCGAGGGCCTGCGCCGATCGGCAAAACATTGAATCCGCCGACACTGTCGGCGTGTGAGGGGCTTGTCCGTTCGAGTGGTCGTCTCCGCCATTCGTTAGTCTTCCTTTCTATCGTCCCCTTTCCCTGCGCTCACCCTTTCCCTGGGCCCGTCGCCGCTCCTCCCCTTCTCCTGGGCCCTCCTCAAGCGCTGGGCCCGTCGCCGCTTCCTCTTCCCTAGGCCCTCCTCCTCAAGAGAGCCAGCCAAAGCGAATTTGAGAAACGGCGTGATTGACTCGACGGGAAGCCCCCCTTGATCCCTCCCCCGCCGGAAAGGGGGGGGGCCCGGGTCAGATACGACTCCCCCCGGGGTCGTCCCGGGGGGAGTCCCTGGTCAGGTGCGACTACCCCCCAGGGGGTCACGGTCTAGGGGCCTGAAAAACGCCCCAAGCCGGGCCAAGCGTGCCCCAAGGAGCCCCCAAGACGGTCCAAGAGGGCCCCAAGGGGCCCCCAAGACGGGGGGGAGTCCCGGGTCAGGTGCGACTCCCCCCCAGGGGGTCTAGGGGCCTGAAAAACGCCCCAAGACGGGCCAAGAGTGCCCCAAGGGGCCCCCAAGACGGTCCAAGAGGGCCCTGGATCGCCGAGTGATCTGTCCAAGACGCCCTGACGGCCTCCAGACGGTCCAAAAGCCCCGCAAAACGCCCCGCCGAGAGGCCTCCACGACTCCCCCCGGGGGGGTCCTGGGGGGAGTCCCGGGTCAGGTGCGACTTCCCCCCAGGGGGTCTGGGGGCCTGAAAAACGCCCCAAGCCGGGCCAAGAGTGCCCCAAGGGGCCCCCAAGAAGGTCCAAGAGAGCCCTGGATCGCCGAATGATCCGTCCAAGACGCCATGACGGCCTCCAGATGGCCCAAAAGCTCTGCAAAACGCCCCGAGAGGCCTCCAGGAGCACTTCCAGCAGGGCCCCAAGTAGGAAACATTGATGATTTCCCAGTGGTTTTTGAAGCATTTCGGCGTCCTCGCCCCTTCCACCAAAGAGGGCCGCCAGATCGCCCCAAGGGCCCCAAGACGGCCCAAGACGCCTCCAAGACGGCCCAGGAGGCCCCCAAGACGGCTCCAAGAGGGTGCCCAGATGAGGAACCAGAACGAACATTTCGAGCCCTCTGCCCCGAGAGGCTCCAGGAGGAACCAATAGGCCTCCAAGAGGCACCCAATTAAGAGGTCCCCGAGAGAGGCCCCCAAGAGGCCCCCACGAGGCCCCCAAGAGGCCCCTAAACTGTCCCCCAGAGGCTCCCGAGAGCGCGTCGAAGAGACCCCAAGAAGTATTTATGAAGACTCTGACCCACGTCTGCGTCGTCGTCGTCGCCGCCGCCGCCGCCGTTGTCGTCGTTCCCCTTCAGGGTCGGCGGCACCGGCCGTAAGGCCTTCGCAAAAAGAAAACGATCACTGAGGCGTGGAAGAATTCCAAGTACTGTCTGGCAGGGTCCCTGCAGTCTTTTTAGGACCCCCAAAAAAATGTCGCGCCCAGTTGCGTGCTCCGCCGAATCCTGGGGATCCCTGGGCGGCCACGACACGACGCCTCCCTGGCGCGCTCCAAGGCGTCCAAAACGCCCAACATGGTCCTCAAGACGTACCTGACAGGCCACTAAGGCCGCCAAGATGGTCCAAGCGGCCTCCATGATGGCGTCAGATGGCCGAAGATGGCCTCGAGACGGCGCAAGAGGCCTCCAAGACGGCCCAGGAGGGCTCCAGTAGAGACTCCAGCAAATCCCGAGGAGAGGCTCCAGTAGAGACTCCAGCAAAACATGTATCCTGCTTGGTGTTTAACAGATGTTCGCATTCTCGGCGTTTCGAGCTCTTGTCGGCCCAAGGCAGCCCAAGAAGACTCCAAACTGGCATCAAAACGGCCCAGGGGGGCACCAAGAGTGCCCTAAGACGGCCCAAGAGGGTGCCAAGATGGCCCGAGAGCAGCCCAAGAGGACCCCAAGTCGGACCAAGAAGGCGCCCAGACCGCTCTCACGGTCCCCAAGAGAGCCCCAAGACGACCCAGAGAGCCCCCCAAGATGGGCTCTGAAAGCGTCCATGCGGCCCAAGAGCGCCCTCAGACGGCCCAAGGAGCCCTCAAGAGCCCCCGAGGCACCCCCAAGGCGCTGCCAACAGACCCGAAGAGGCCCCCAAGAACCACTCAAGAGGCCTCCAGAGCCGTCAAGAGGCCCGAAGTGAGTGTCACACGTGACGGCCTCCCGTGTCCCCTCGAATAGTCGCCACCCAACATGCTCGACTGGCACGGTGAAGGGACTTGCCGCAGGCAGCTGGGTAAATAGACGCACATTCCAGGATCCCCCATAGTGTTCAATCATTTTTGGATGCTCGTCTACCCCTCCATCTCCCATGTGCTCTCACATTTCACGGGAAATCGACGATCATGCGTGCCTGTGCCGATTTTGTCCCTCCTGAACACGGGCGGTGTTCATCACTGTTTCACTGGGCCCCGGGACCATCCCAAAACGGCCCGGCATGAGACGGCGTCGACGTCGTCCTGGAAGGCTCTTGGCTTGGTCGACGACGTCTTTGTTGCGGAGGCAGGTCTCTGGGCACGTCTGAATTTCCCAGGGCGACCCGACTTCGCTAGGGGGAAAACAAACCTACCTCGCTTTTGACCACCCTCGCTTCCAAGAGATACCGAGCGATGCCAAACTACGGCCTGTACTGGTCAGGCCGCTTGACCAGGAGGCGCGTGGTATGACTTGGTTTTGCCTGGAAGCGAAAGCGGGGGTGGGTAAGTCACGCTCCGATTCGCACATCGCGCAGCGCAGCGCACGACTTCTCCGCCCCGCGCGCCGTCCCCCGAGGAGAGGGGCAGCCGCTCCGGCCCGGACCGCGACGCGCGGAGCGCGGCCGCCCTGGCGCCCCCGCAGGTGGCCGGAGCGCAGTGGCCCACGAGCCCGGGGTCAGCGCAAGCCCAGGTCCGCGGAGGGGGGGGGGGAAGCGGGGGGGGGGCTCCAGGTGGCTCCCAAGCGCGGGTCGGCCAGAGGATCTCGAGGGGGATTGGCCGACCCCCGTCAGCACTGGCCCCCGCTACGTGAGCCCCGAGAGATTCGGACGCCTGCAGTGGGTACGGGAACAACAGCTGTTGGCACGATGCCCAAGAACAGACGTTGTCCAAAATCAACAACGACGGCTGCTGGGCAGGCGGCCTCATGTCTAAAACGGACGGCGACACCGACAGCGAGTCCTGTTCACAATGAACAGGAAATTCTGTCCATCGTCGCACCCAGTCTTTCAGTACCCACCGCAAAGAGGTCATGGTCGCCTCGGCTGGGCGCTGCTCGGATACCCTGAGATCCGACATTGCGGAAAAATTGCAGCATCGCCAAAAAAACGACCGGATCCCCCGAGCCCACCTTTCTGCGTCATTCTTCGAGCCGGATCGATCTGTGAGGGTCCTGGGCCTCGAAACGAGGCGAAAACGCCCGTTGTGAAAAAATGCGACGCCAAAATCTCAGTAAAGTAAAAAATGCATATACATTAAACTTTTGGCGCTCCGCGCGGATGTCTTGGATCTGCGCTGGACCCCCCCTCCCTGGCGCGCGGAGCGCGCCAGGGGCGGCCCCAGAGGCGCCGGAGGCGCCGCCAGGGGAGGGGCC